ATTTTATTTATTTAACACATTGATCTATAAAAGGTAGACGAAGAAACTAAACATGCCTACCTTGGCTTGAGTAGATCAGCAGCACTTTTTTTTTTTTTTAAACCAGGGATTGAACTCAGGGGTACTCAACTACTGAGCCACATCCCCAGCCCTATTTTGTATTTTATTTAGAGACAGGGTCTCACTGAGTTGCTTAATGCCTTGCTGTTGCTGAGGCTGGCTTTGAACTTGAGATCCTCCTGCTTCAGCCTCCGGAGCTTCTGGGATTACAGTCGTGCGTCACTGCACCCCGCTGATTGGCAGCACTTCTGTGGCAACACTTATTAACATCCCACAGAATATCCCTCTGGAAAATACTGCACAGGATGTTTGGCATTGGCAATGCCCAGGCCTTGGGGAAAGGGACCACTTAATGATGAAGTACATTTAATAGCTCTCAGGAAAGGCTGGATGATTGGTTATTCTTTCAAGTCTGAGTTTCAATTATTTGAAACCACATCAGGCTGTACAACATTGTGCTGTAGCATACACTTAAAACCTGCTAAGAGGAAAGATCTCACGTTAGGTGTTATTATAACCACAATAAAAAGACAAAATCTATACCTTTTTTTTTTCCATTTTCTCCTTGAAAGAGCTAGAAGAGGTCTGGGATTGTGGCTCAGCGGTAGAGCATTCGCCTAGAACATTTGAGGCCCTGGGGTTCAATCCTCAGTACCACATAAAAACAAAAGAAAGATGTTGTGTCCAACTACAACTAAAATATATATATATATATATATGTGTGTGTGTGTGTGTGTGTGTGTATTTAAAAAGAGTGATCTTTAAAAAAAAAGACCTAGAAGAGTTGAGTATCTTCTCATTTTCTTTTCTCTGTTTCCATCTCTTCACTGGTCCCCCGGGTATAGGAGAGTTGGGTCAACCCTTCACTCCAGTGGTGTCCCATCCTCAGTGCTTGTCACAGCTTCACCCTCCTCTGGGGAACTGTTTTCAGCCTACATGAGCTGCTTTGCCCAAAGATGCCTGTGAAGTATGCTTTCTTCCCCTACTCCCCAGTGGCTCAAGGTCCATGAATGGCTGATGTGGGGTACAAAGTCTATCTCCTTGCTTTTTGAGAGAGATTAGCCTTGAAGATCAAACTGGGGCTAGACCTGGGTGAACCGGTATCTTTGCTGGTTTCTTCCTCTGCCCTGTCCTGCGTTCTCCCTGGCTCAATAAGTCACTTGCATAAGAATCTCTGTCTCTGGCCCTCATCTAGGACCTCAACCTAAGATATCTCTGTTGGCACTTGTGGCTTTCAGAAAGATTTCCTGCTACTGGACTCTGTCACTCAGGAAGCTTGTTTGCTTAAGATTAATGAGTGTGAGCCTGTAATCCCAGTGTCTTGGGAGGCTGAGGCAGGAGGATTGTGAGTTCAAAGCCAGCCTCAGTAACAGTGAGGTGCTAAGCAACTCAGGAAGACCCTCTCTCTAAATAAAATATAAAATAGGGCTGGGGATGTGGCTCAGTGGTTGAGTTTCCCTGAATTCAATCCCTGGTACACCCCCCCCCAAAAAAAAAAAAAAAAAAGATTAAGGAGTGTGGGTGAGGTTGAGACATTTGTTATCCCAGTAATTCAGGAGGCTGAGGCAGGAGAATCACAAGTTTGAGGCTAGCCTCAGCAACTTAGTGAGATCCTGTCACAAAAGAAAAAAAAAAAAATCTGGGGTATGGCACAGTGGGAGAGTTGCCCTGGGAGAACTGTGTCAAAACTAAATAAATAAAAGAAAATAAAGAAATAAAAATAAATAAGAGTTGGATACCTATTTTTTTTTTTAAGAGATTCCTCTGAACCAGAGTAAATCTCTGTTCTTTTTATTTATTTTTTAGTTTTAGGTGGACACAACATCTTTCTTTGTATGTGGTACTGAGGATCGAACCCGGACCGCACGCATGCCAGGTGAGCGCGCTACCGCTTGAGCCACATCCCCAGCCCCTGGATACCTATTGTTTTAGTCAGCCTTTTCACTGCTGAGACCAAAAGACTTTACAAGAATTATTTTAGAGGAGGGGAAAGTTTATTTGGCACTCACGGTTTCAGAGGTCTAAGTCCATAGACAATCCACTTCATTGCCCTGCGGCTGAGAAGACCCAAAGGCAAGCCCCCAGTGACCTACTTCTTCCAACCACACCCTACCTGCCTACAGTTACTGACAAATTAATGCATATCATAGGACTATCCACTGATTATGTTACAACTCTCCTAATCACTTCACCTCTGAACTTTCTTGCGTTGTCTCACCTAAGCTTCTGAAGGAACACTTCACATCTAAACCATAATACCTACTGTGTGCCAGACCCATAAACACTTTATGTGCATTAGATTATCGAGTCCTCCCAATCACCTGATCAAGCAAATACTATTGGAATCTTACAGACAACGAAACTGAGGCTCAAAGAGGTTGAGTGACTTGAGCATTCAAGAGGAAGGAAGGATTGGAAACTCTGAAGATTCTCAACTTCACACCCTCGGATTTAATGAACAGATTCCACCTACCTCCTCAGCCCAGTAGAGTGTACTTTTGCACTCTGTAGATCCCAGACAGTGCGACCACATACAAAAAGTTACATGTTTTTGAGTCTGTCTACTGGTTACAGATTGCACTGAGGGCTTCGTTTTATTTTCTTGGCACTGGGGATTGAATCTTGCTTCTTCTTATTTTGTTTCTGCAGTGTTTGGGGATAAACCTACTGAGCTACCCACCCAGACCCAGAGTAGGGGGACTTCATTTAAATAAAGCTTCCTTATATCTTTGTTTCTCAGGTGAGGAAGTGCTAGAACAGCCCTGGAGCCGTCCCTCCCCCACACCCAGGTCTGCCCTTAGAGATGAAGTGAAGCCCTTTGCTTCTGAGCTCCTTGGGGACACAATCTGTGTTCTTGAGGTGCTGCCAAAGCTGCAGCAGCAGGCATCTCTGCCTGCCGCTCTGCTGCAGAGCTGGGGATCTGCATTGCTGAGAACAGTAACTAGGGAGGTAGCACTTTGCTTGCTGGAGGCCTCATGGATTCACAGAAGAGTGAGCAGGCACTGAAGTCAGGGAATGATATGAGGCCTGGGCCAAGAAAAAAGGGGACATGACTCAAGGTGGAACTAAACTCAAGTCTGCTCTTCAGTAAACAAATTGTTTCTAACTATAACATCCTAGGCACTGTCTTAGGGCTTGAGGATACAATAGTGAACAAACCAAAAATTCTGTGTTAATGGAGCAGGATGGGTATAATGATGGCAGAAATAATAAAAAAATTTTGGTAGTATTTAGTATGGAGTAAAGCAAACACAAGAATTGCGGTCATTTGATACTGTTTAACTCATTTTACAAATGGAGACAGGGAGATACAGTAGCTAAGTGACTGGCCAAAGTTACATTGAGTGACAGCAGGGTTCTCTACTTCCATTAAGACTGACCTCAGGCCCAGCCCGGCATTGTGGCCCATGCCTATAATCCCAATGACTGAGAGGCTGGGACAGGAGGATCCTTAAATTCAAAGCCAGCCACAGCAACAGGGAGGCGCTTAGCAACTCAGTGAGATCCTGTCTCTAAATAAAATTCAAAAAGGGTCTGGGAATATGGCTCAGTGGTCCAGTCCCCCTGAATTCAATCCCTGATACCAAAAAAAAAAAAAAAAAAAAAAAAAAAAAAAGACTCACCTCGTCCTGTAATCCCAGTGGATGCGGGGGGGGGGGGGGCTGAGACAGGAGGATGGAGTTCAAAGTCAGCCTCAGCAAAATTGAGGCGCTAAGCAACTCAGTGGGACCCTGTCTCTAAATAAAATTCAAAATAGGACTGGGAATGTGGCTCAGTGGGAGTGGCCTAAACTCAATCCCCAGTACAAAAAAAGATTGACCTCGGGAGCCCCTTGGGCTACTTTTTTTTTTAAATTCGGGGTGCCTCGGCTGGAATTCAGGGACACAGGCATGCTAGGCTATTTATTAAGGGCACCAGATTTGGAAAGCAAAAGCAAAATAATACAGATAAAGCTCAAGTCCTCCTTGCCCATCCCCAACTGTAGCAGCCTCTGTCTTGATGCTTTCCTTTTAGTCCTGTTCTGCTTTTTAATTAGGTTGTAGATGGACACATTACTTTATTTATTTTTATGTGGTGCTGAGGATCAAACCCAGTGCCTCACGAGTCCGAGGCAAGCGCTCTGCCGCTGAGCTACACACCCAGCCCCCTCAGTCCTGCTCTTGTACATATGTATGCTGTGTTCATACGCATTACTTTCTACGCAAGTGGCTTCCTGTACATACTGTCTATTCTACAACTTGCTTCTTTTTCCTTAACAAGATGTTTTGAACATCGTTCCCTGCCTTTCTAGCTAACTGCTGCATTGTATTTCATTATATGGATGCGCCTACTTTAGTTTCCAGGACCCTACAAATTGACACTCTGGGATGTTTCCATTCACAACTTTTGCAAAAGCTCCGGAAGTTTCTCTTCCCACTGTAGATTTGGAAAGTTTTTTCCGAAAGAATCCAAGTGACGAAATCAGGAGCAGCATTGCTAACTGCTAATCAATCTAACTGTAACTGCTTAAGCTCCCTCAAGAACTGTGATTCCCACCCACCACCTCCGCTCGAACCGCAGTCTAAGGATTGGGCCAGGGGAGTTGAGAGAAAAAAAAAAAAAAAAAAAGCCCAATACACCCAAGAGTGCAACCTCGAGTCACAGAAAACGGGCCTGCGTGTTTCAGAAGCACAGGCTCCTTGGGGAGGAGCTGAGAACGCCAGCTCCCCGGGGATCTGAAGACGCCACCTTTAGCAAAGAGCTGCGCGGAGTTGCACGCTGGCCGAAGCCCAGGCTCAGGGCCGCGTCTCGGGCGGCGGGAACCTATCCTAGTGGCGCAGGGCGGAACTACATTTCCCAGGGTGCTCCGCGAGACGACGCCAGCCCCGCGTTAAAGAGCTGGCTCCGAGAGCGCCCGGCGGCCGCAGGTACGTGGGGCGCGCGACTCCTCGCGGCTCCCCAGTCCTCCCGCGGGCTCCTACGTCCTCCCGCGGGCTCCCACGTCCTCCCGCGGGCTCCCACCGCCCTCTGCGACCCGCCGCACGCCCATGTCTCCCCAGGGAAGAGTCTCGAGAGCTCTGCTGGCACCCTCGGGCGCTCACCTACACCAGGGGACTTCCGCTGTCCTACTTCCCTATGGCCTGGGTCTTTCAGCGGAAGTTTAGGGGACTGTGGACGCCTGGGACACGGAGGGACACGCCCCCCACCCCTGAGGCAGGTGGGGCGCTGAATGCAGACGCCGCTCTGATTTTACTTTGAGGCCACCTCCTGCCTCGGTTTACCCCATCAGGTCTCGTCGTTATGCACAAATCTCCAAGGCATGCCGTTTGTGTAATTTACATAATTGCTTCTTTTCTGCCTGCTTTCCAGAAGGCAACAAATTAGAGCCCTCTCTAAGCCTGTTTTTTTTTCCCCTTCGTGGTGCTAAAATGTGCGAAGTCCTTGCCTGGCCCATTTCACTATATATGAGAAGGCCTTATTATTTTAGTCTCTCCCTGGCTCCCCCACTCTATCAGTGTGTTGCCGAGGACATTAAAAAATGTTTTATCTTTGGTGCTGGGGGTATAGCTCAGTTGGAAGAGTGCTTGTCTCTCAAGCCCAAGGCCCTGGGTTCAATCCCCAGCACCAAAAAAAAAAAAAAAAAAAAAAAAAAAGTTTTAGCTTCAGCAGATGAAGTTTTATTTAAAGTGGGCAGAGGGAGGGAGCTGGGGTTGTGGCTCAGTGGTAGACCGCTTGCCTAGCAGGTGTGAGACAATGGGTTCTGTTCTCAGCATCACATATAAATAAATAAAGGTCCACTGACAACTAAAAAATATTTAAAAAAAAAAGAAAGTGGGCAGAGTATTGGAATAATTATGATGTGGGTTCTAAGATTTCTGTATTTACGGTATGGTTCTGAGCAAAAATACTGGAGTTTGAAACTCCTGCCTGCCTCTACTAGCTCTGTATGACCTTAGGCAAGGCAGGGTGTTTTCACCTGTTTTTTTTTTTTTTTTTTCAATCCCTTGCTGGGATTGAACTCAGGGGCACTTGACCACTGAGCTACATCCCTGGCCCTATTTTATATTTTATTTACAGACAGGGTCTCACTGAGTTGTGTAGCACCTCCGTTTTGCTGAGGCTGGCTTTGAACTTGAGATCCTCCTGTCTCAGCCTCCCTAGTTGCTGGGATTCAGGCCTGCACCACATTGCCAGGTGAGTGTTTTCATCGTTAAGCCACACTTTCCTTTTTTTTTTTTTTTTGGTATAAGAGATAACTTTCCTTTTTCTTTTTGGTACAGGGGATTGAACCCAGTGGTGCTTAACTACTGAGCTGCATCCCCAGCCCTTTTTATTATTATTATTATTACTTTTTAATTTTTATTAAACATACTTTTTAGTTGTTGATGACCTTTATTTTATTTATTTGTATGTGGTGCTGAGAATCGAACCCAGTGCCTCACACATGCTACGCAAGTGTTCTACCACGGAGTCACAACCCCAGTCCTACTTTTTTATTTTGAGACAGGGCCTTGTTAAGCTGTTAAGGATAGCCTTGAACTTGTGATCCTCTTGCCTCAGCCTCCCAAGTGTCTGGGATTACAGGCTTGTGCTACTGCACCCAGACCCAAATTAGAGGTTCTTACATTGATTTTTTCCTTAGGTTTCTAAGAGGAGATGACATTATCTTCTTCATGTTAGTTTGGATCCTTGGAAAAACAGAGTAAGTTGGGGTTAGATTTATGAGCTTTTATTGGGGAAAGAAAAAGGGGAGCAAGCTGGGGAGGTGGTGCCTATATATAGGCCTTGTGCATGCTAGGCAAGTACTCTACCAACTGAGCTATATCCCCAGCCCTTTATATTTTATTTTTATAGTACTGGGGATTGAGTCCAGGGGCTCTTTTAAATCTCCAGCCCTTTTTATTTTTTGTTTAGAGGCAGGGTCTCACTAAGTTGCCAAGGTTGTCTTTGAACTTGCGCTGCTTCTGCCTCAGCCTCCTGAGTTGCTGGGATTCTAGGCATGTGCCATTGTGTCAGGCTGTCAGAGGAGTCTGGGTCTGCCCTGAGGAATTTGTGGGGAGCAGTTTGTGGAGAGTAGCCTCCATGTAGACAGGAAGGTAGATTCAGACTACAGAGGGTGTGGGGGGTGGGAGTGTGTCTGTCAGTTATACTCTCTGCCTCAGGAGACCTAGAGGGTTCAAGGTGCCTTAGGCCACACAGTGAACTGTGGCCACAGTGGAGTTCCTTGCTGTTCCCTTCACAGGGAGAGCCACGTGGGCATCCTAGGGAATGTGTTTGCCCTCAGGTGCCTGGCTAAATTTTCTAGGTCAGATTTCTTTGGATTACCCCCCTGGGGCTTAGCAGGGAGCAGAGCAATTTCTTTCAGTAGACAGAGGCTTTTCCTGAAAGTTGGGAGAAGCGTGGGAGTTGCTAAATCAGCCATAACTATGGGCTTGGTGGCAGCTGAGTCGGGTATAAGAAGAGACTGGTTGCTGAGATTCAGGTGTCAGGTTGGCTTTTGGCTGGGGTGTGGGCTAACCACTGGATGCATACGTAGGGCACATCTTGGACAGTGGCATGTGGCTTGCTTTGACCTTTCTCACACTGAGCTTTAGGAGCTGGAGGGAAGAGGTGACAGGTATGCTGCTTTGTAGGACAGTAGCAGATCCCTGCCAGAGTCAAATACTGGGGCACATCTAAGGATCCAGCTACAGATGGTTGTGGGAGTGCAGAGGCTCTGGAGTCAGTTTGGTTTCCCATGGGTTAGAGTGTTGGCTGGCCTGGGGGTACGGGTGAGGCCATAGCTTTGGCTGGACTTTCCCACCACTTATCAGTACCTTGGAGGAAGATGACTGATGGGTAGGGTGCAATCCCTTTTGCCTCAGAGCCTCTGGGAGAGGAGGTCCCTGAGTGTTTGGATTTCCTCCAACAGTTTTTTTTTTTTTTTTTTTTTAAAGAGAGAGAGAGAGAGAATTTTTTAATATTTATTTTTTAGTTTTTTTTCGGTGGACACAACATCTTTGTTTGTATGTGGTGCTGAGGATCGAACCCGGGCCGCATGCATGCCAGGCGAGCGTGCTACCGCTTGAGCCACATCCCCAGCCCCCTCCAACAGGTTTTGCACACCTCCCACAAGTCAGTGTTTGTGTTGGCTGCCCCCTTTCCAGGCAATCTCCCCAGCCTAAGGAACCTGGGAGGTTAGGTGCTCCTCTCCATCCCTTCCCCAGCTCGAAGCTGGTGACTGAGTGATGAGGGGCTCCTGTTACAGAAAAGGCAGCCCCTTGCTTAAGATGGGACCAGAGATCAACCCTGTCCCACTTGCCTCACTTCCTATCTCCTAAGTGTGCTTTCACAGGAAATGCTACAGACCTGCATTTTTATATTATTGTATTAGGGGATTGAACCCAGGGTCTCTTTACCACTGAGTTATATCCAAGCCCTTTTTATTTTGAGACAGGGTCTTACTAAATTGCCAAGGCTGACCTTGAACTTGCAGTCCTCCTTCTGCATCCCCCCAGTTGCTGGGATTACAGGTACCACCATGCCTGACTCACTCACATTTTAGAAAGTCAAAACATGCTTGCCACATGATCTGGCAATTCCACTTCCCATGTCCACCTAGGGAAATGAATTATGGTATTCACACAGATCTGTACCTGAAGGTTAAATAAGAACTTCATTTTAGCCAGTCATGGTGGTGCATACCTATAATCCTAGTGACTTGGGAGGATGAAGCAGGAGGATTGCAAGTTTGAGGCCAGCCTCAGCAATTTAGCAAGGCCCTAAGCAATTTAGTGAGACCCTGTCTCCAAATTAAAAAGGCAAGGAGGGAGGTTAGGGAGGGATGTGGCTCGGTGGTTAAACACCCCTGGGTTCAATCCCCAGTATCAAAAAAAAAAAAAAAAAAAAAAAAAAAAAGAAGAAGAAAGAAAGAACTTTATTCATGATTGCCAAAAGCTGGAGACAGTTGAACTATCTTTCAGTGAGTGAACAAATGAATAGACTGTGGTACCTGCACTCCAGGGATGCTACTTGGCAGAAAAAAAGATAAGGATCAGCTATCAATCTGTGTCTCATAGGCATTATGTTGAAGGAAAGAAGCTAATCTCAAAAGTTCATATTCTGTTTATCTGACATTTTTGAAAAGACAAAACTATAGCTATGGAGAACAGATGAATAGTTATCAGGGGTTAGGGAGGGAGGAGGGTATGACCAAAAAGTAATAGGGTGAGGGAGTTTTTGTGATGGTGAGCACAATAATCTATACTTGTATTAAAATTTGTAGGACTATATATCAGAAAGAATTTTAGTGTATAACAATTAAAATCATACACAACAATTTATTGCTGCTTCAGGAAGTTCTTCTACTTTGGCCAGAATGGAGCAGCCAAAGAGGGTTGATTGGACAGTCATCATCCTGACATGCCAGTACAAGGACAGTGTGCAGGTCTTCCAGAGAGGTAGGTGACTCCCCCTCCCCACCTTGCCCTCAAGGTAAACCTTCCCCATCCTCTCCCTTGCCAGATCCCTACAGCCCCAGGAACTGATCTCATATCTGACCTGGCCCTTCATTGTGCTTGTTTTCTCACCTGTAAAATGGGAGTAAGAGGTTACTCTTACTTATCTGATAAGCAACCATATGAAAACCTAAGTCAAAGAAATCAATGACTATTTCTAGGCTTGTTCAGGTGCTTTGGACCTGGACCGGAAGGTTGGGGGACAGGTCTCAGCATACTTTTTGACCACAGAGCTGGAAGTGAGGCAGAAGCGGGAGCAGATCCCCACTGGGACACTGTTACTGGCTGTGGAGGACCCTGAGACACGCGTGGGCAGTGGAGGAGCTACCCTCAATGCGCTGCTGGTGGCTGCTGAGCACCTGAGTGCCCGTGCAGGCTTTACTGTGAGTGATTCCCTGCTGCTGCCCCTCTGGCCCTGTTCTTGTTGGAATCAGATAATTTCCAACTCTCTGGCTCCGTTGCCCTGGCCAGGTCAGCATTTGGCTTGTGTTTTAGAATCTGTACTTTGGCTAGACTCATCCCTGCCATGCCGTCCAGGTGAGAGCAGAAGGCAGGGTCTGCCTTTGTAGTGTTTTTAGAAAGTTGGAACCAATATCTCAATGGGAGGTTTTCTGGCTTTTTAAAAGTTTGAAGATTCCCAGCTACTTGGGAGGCTGAGGCAGAGAATTGCCAGTTTGAAGCCAGCTCTGGCTACTTAGCAAGACTGTGTCTCAGAATAAAAAGGGCTGGGCATATAGCTTAGTGGAAGAGTATCCCTGGGTTCAGTCCCTAGTAATGGAAAACAAAGAACAACAACAAAAAAACTCAACAAACAAGAAGCAGGGTTCAAAGATCTTGCTATCCTGGGTTGTCTGTCATACTTGTTTGGAACTGAGATGTGGCCCTCCTTTGGACATGTGAGTCAGTGTCATCACACACACCCAGCCACTTTTGGTCACCTTGTCTGCATAGCATGGAGAGTGAGGGTGGTCACAGAGATGGCATAGGTAGGGGATGGGGACACTGGTTGCTGAGTAGCTGACATTCCCTGAGTCACCCAGCTGTATGGCCTCAAGTCATTGCCTACAGCTGCCTATCCAAACCGAGGGCAGGGAGGTGGCCTAGGTAGAGAGCTGCTGGCTCCCTTACCCAGGCCAGGGCTGCCTCTCCCCTGTTTGGGGCCATTGGTCTTGACCTGGTCTTTGTCCTTTTGGTACCTGAGTGGACTTGTGTCGGAGTCCCTCCTTAGACAGGTCTTCCTCCAGGTGCCATTTGCTCAAGGTCTCTGTCCACCGGGCTCTCTCTCTCCTGACAGGTGGTCACATCTGATGTCCTGCATTCATCCTGGATCCTCATCCTGCACATGGTAAGTGGAATTATGGGCATGGGCAATGTAAAGGATCAGAACCCTGATTCTCAGGGTTGGGTGGAACTTGAGGAACTGTCTACCATTGTGCATGTGCAGGGTGTTCATTTTGCAAATCCCAAAGAATCAGAATCAATCAAAATGTCCAAAAATCGGAAACTGGCTAAATATATACAGTATGTCCTTCAGACAGATTAAAAGGTCTATCTTTATGCATTGACCTAGAATGAGACTTTTTTTTTTTTTTTTTTTTTTTTTGGTGCCAGGAATTGAACTCAGGGTCACTTAACCACTGAGCTACATTCTCAGCCCTTTTTATTTTTTTAATTTTGAGATAAGGTATTGCTAAGTGACTTAGGGCCTCACTAAATTGATGAGGCTGAACTTGCTGTCCTCCTGTCTCAGCATTCTGAGCTACTGGGATTACAGGTGTGCACCACCATGCTCAGCTAGAATGAGACCTACCAACTCTGTAACCTTGGCAAGTCACTAGACTATAGGTTTTGGTTTCATCTGTTGTATGTGTGTATGGTGCTGGGTTTGAACGCAGGGCTTTGTGCATGCTAGGCAGGTATTGGGCTACTAAGCTACATCCTGGTGTCTTCATATATAAAGCAAGAACAGCAACAGCTCCTCCTTCATGTAGATGTGAACGTGGTTATGGACGTGCTGAGATGACCCACATGAATGCTTAAAACAGGGTCTGGCTTACTCCAAGTGCTCAGTGAAAAAGTCCTGTGACAGAAGTTTGTGTGGAATGATCTCAGTTTTTTTTTTTTTCTTTCGGTGATACTGGGCCAAACCCAGGTCTTCTTACACTGAACTATGTCCCCAGCCCTTATTTTATTTTGAGACAGGGTCTCAAAAGTTGCCGAGATCGGCCTTGAACTTTGTGATCTTCCTGCCTCAGCCTTATCAGAATCATCTCATTCTTCTTCTTCTTCTTCTTTTTTTAATGTTTTTTTAGTTGTAGTTGGTCACAATACCTTTATTTTATTTATTATTTTTTATGTGGCGCTAAAGATCGAACCCATGCCTCACACGTACTAGGTGAGCGCTCTGCTGCTGAGCCACAACCCCAGCCCAGAGAATCATCTCATTCTTGTAAAAAAAATCATTTAAAGTATAAATTAAAGTCTGATAGAATGTACCTCAAATTAGGGCAGTAGTTAGTATCTGAGGGATAGTTTTCCTTTTTGCATATTTGAATTTTCTAATTTTTTTTTACAGTAATCATGTTCATTATAAAAAATTGTAAGGGAAATTGCTAAGATAACATTTTTTATACATCTTATACTCGATGCCTGCCACCCTTGCACAGCTGATGAGGTGTCCCAGTTTTTCTGCTCCCAGAGCTCCTTCACCAATCCCTGCTCCCACCCAGGGTCGAGACTTTCCCTTTGATGACTGTGGCCGGGCCTTTACCTGCCTCCCTGTGGAGAACCCCCAGGCCCCTGTGGAGGCCTTGGTCTGCAACCTGGACTGCTTGCTGGATATCATGACCCACCGGGTAAGCCACATAGTGGCCCAGGGGCCTTTTCCCGACTAGCGCCACCTCTCCCATACTGTGCCACCAGATAAGGTCTGTGCCAGTTCAGATAGGAGACCCCAGAAAGTTCAGGTACTTAATTTGTTATAGCCTCAATTTGGTCTTGGCCACCTTGGGGGAAGGTGTGCTCTAGGTGGGACAGAGGGTGGTGATCATTGGTACCATAGGTCTTGAGAGGCCCCTGTTACTTAAGGAGTAGACTCCCCTGGGATGAGGTTGCTGCTGGGGCATGTGAAACAGGCCAACATGCCTGTGAGGGAGTAGAGAAAGGGCTGGGTCAGGCCATCCAGCTGCTTTCTCTCTTTTTCTTTTTTTCCTGTCCCCTGAAGCTGGGGCCAGGCTGTCCCCCAGGTGTGTGGGTCTGCAGCACTGACATGTTGCTGTCTGTTCCTTCAAACCCTGGTAAGTCTGAAAGGGCCTGGGATCACCTTCCCTTGCCACAGCTAAGGCAGGCTTTACCTTTCTAGCCCATTCTGTCTCTGGGCCTTCAGAAGGGAGGCTTAGGATATAGAGATGAAGCCCGGGAGGCAGGCTTTCCCTTGCTACGACTCAGTATGCCTGTCTATAGAATGGACACAACAGTGCTGCCCCTTCCACCCCACAGGGCTTTGTGGAAGTACTTTGGGCGACAAGGGTTGTTATTCTCTAGAGGAGTGTCCATTTGGTTTTGGAAACCATGTTCCCTTTTATTTATATCCATATTCCCTTTAGAGGTGCCCAGATACCCAGCCCTGGGCTCTTGCTTCTCTGTAACTGGGGGTTCCTTGCCTTGGGTTGGGGCCCCTGGGAGCCTCCTGTATGTGCTACTCCACAGGGATCAGCTGGGACGGTTTTCGGGGAGCCAGAGTGATCGCCCTTCCTGGGAGCCCAGCTTATGCTCTGAATCATGGTGTCTACTTCACTGACTCCCAGGTACTGCCTCTGGGGAAAGCTGAGCTGGCTGGGATGGCCTTCGAGTCCCATGCATTAGGAAACCCCTTGTCCTGGTCTTGATCTGGTCCTTGGTCCCAGCATGGTCTTGAGCCTGCCGTGCTTTTCCATGGCCACAACTCTGGGCTCACTTACCTTTTTCCACAGATGCATTTCAGTCTGACTGCTTGCCAGGCTCAGGTAGGGCTCCCAGGCAGTACCCACGATTAAAGCTGGTTCTCACCCTCTGTGGATAGAACTCTTAGGTGCTTGTGTCCCCTGAGTGTGCTGCTGTCTGCCAGACTTGCATGATAAGTTTTCACTTGGAGAACACTTGTTGACACCTACGGCAATATTGCCTTCTGTGTCCTCTCTTGCTCCCTTCTCCAACTCTGAACATCCCTCCACATAGGGCTTCGTTTTGGACATTTACTACCAGGGCACTGATGCAGAGATACGGCGGTGTATCCAGCCTGATGGGCATGTGCCACTGGTATGGCTGCTGGGCTCCGGATGGGGGTCTTTGAGGACATTTTGGGATGGGAGGGAGAATTTGCTTTCCTCTCTGGGGAAAAACCACACTCATTCTGGAAGCTTCCAGAGCAGGCTAGAACCAGAATCTGAGGATGATCTAGACCTGGCTTTTAGGGGAGCAGCTGTAGCCAGAATCTGAGGAAGGGGTAGCCTTGGAATTTGGGGTTTGTCCTGAACCAGAAAGCCTAGAACCAGAATGTGAGGAAGTCAGGGAATGCAGTTGGCAGGACGTAGAGAAGCAAACTCAGGATTTTTCCAGAATAAAGGACAAGATGGGAGTAGTGGGGAAGTGTCGGGGACTGGACTGTGGGGAAGGTGGAGAACTAGGCTTGGGAGGAGTACTGAAAGGTGCCTTGGTGGGAGCTGCCCCAAGTATGCCTGGAGTCTGGGTGTTGGGGCGGCTCAGAAGACTGGGACTGGTGTGGCATCTGTCCTCCCTGGGCCCAGCCTCTCATCCCTGAGCCTGGTCTCAGCACCTGTGCCACCTGACCCTTTTGGGGGCCTTTCCAGGTCTCTGGGGTTGTCTTCTTCTCTGTGGAGACTGCTGAACACCTCTTGGCCACCCATGTGAGCCCACCTCTAGATGCCTGCACCTATATGGGCTTGGACTCTGGAGCCCGGCCTGTTCAGGTAACTAGGGGAGGGCAGCTAGGGGTCCCTGGATGGGGACAAGGTGATGCATGACCTCAGCTCCTTACCCTCTCTGGATCAGCATCTCTGCTGATGGGACCATCCTAGCTCAACCTTGGGATTGTGGGTCCCAACCCCTGCCCCACCAATAGCTATGCTTCTTACCCTTGCTCTAGTTGTCCCTGTTTTTCGACATCCTGTTCTGCATGGCTCGAAACGTGAAGAGGGAGGACTTCTTGGCTGGGAGGCCCCCAGAAATGGGGCAGGGTGACATGGAGATAGCAGGTTACCTGCAAGGTGCCCGGGCTCAACTGTGGAGGGAGCTGCGTGGCCAGCCTCTCACCATGGGTGGGTACTGTCCATTGGCTCTGAGTTGGAGAGATCCTGGGAGGGAAGACCCCCAGAATGAGGCTGTCCCCTGCATTCTGGACCAGGCAGCCTGTCTCATAGACTAGATAATCACACCCTTCCCATCCAGAGCCCTTTTCCTGAAATACCTCTTCTCCCATCTTTGCTTTTCTTCTTTCTTGGACTGCAATCCTGCTGTGTCCACTTGTTAGCTGTGGGGCTTTGGGCAGGTTGTGGAACCTCTGGACTTCAAGTTACCCTTAGCCCAATGGGCTCATCACCACAGCTGCCCTGCCAGAGCTGCAGCATATGTAGAGGGAGGTGGGAGAGGTGTCTGATGAAGGTGTCTCTGCTGGCAGGAGACCCAGTCTGGCTCCTGACCCGCAGCAGGCATGGGGTTGGGGTCATACTTTTGTCTTTACAGTGTATATCCCTGACGGCAGTTATAGCTACATGACCACCTCAGCCAGTGAATTCCTGCACATATTCACACTGCCTGGGGTCTCTGGGCCCCAGATCATTCACTCCCAGGTGGAGGTGAGACCTACCTACTCCTTAGAGGTACCTGCTGGGTGCCTGGGGTTGCGTGGGATGTGGGCTTCAGGGAGGGACCAATACCCCTTGAACAAATTACTTTGGAGTGTAGGTGTTTTCATCTCTATTATTCGTGAGGCATGGGAGACTCAGAGAGGCTGAGTAACTTACCCAAGGCCACAGAACTGCTAAGTGACCAAGTCAGGATTTTACATTATGATTGAGAAACTAATGACAACTTTTCTGTGGGGTCTGCTTGGGGAGAGAGGTACATATGAAGATATGGACCTAGGTTAGTGCCATGATGCTCAGGAAAGGGGCAGGCTAATTCAGAGGTGGCCTTGGGGTTGGAGGATGTTGGGTAGGTGAGATGGGAAAGGCCTCAGGCTGGGGCCAGGGCAGGTCCAGAGAGGGGTCTGGCTGGCCAAAGGACATGGGAACAGTGGGCCTTGTGTTCAATACCCAGATGCTTTGTTGTTGGGGAGGGTCAGGCCAGCCCTGGGTCCTCAATCTTAAGACCTCTCTCTTGGCTTCACAGGAACTACAGCTCCTGGGGGCCAGGAGCTCTGTGGTCAGCTGCCTGCTGGAGGGTGCCATTCACTTGGGGCCTGGGAGTGTCTTGCAGCACTGCCACTTGCGGGTGAGGCCTGCAAGCATGGGTAGGGGTGGGTTGAGAGTGGCCAGTGTCCTACATGTTGGGGGCTTGCCTGTGTGCTTATCTACCCAGGATGCCTCTCCTTTTCCCCACCAGGGACCCATTCACATTGGTGCTGGCTGCTTTGTGAGTGGCTTGGATGTAGCACAGTCCAAGGCACTGCATGGCCTGGAGCTGCGTGACCTTGTCCTGCAGGGACACCATGTGCGGCTCCCTGGCTCCCTAGGCTGTGCCTTCACCCTGATTGGCCGCCTGGACAGCTGGGAAGTAGGTATTTGCCTTATATCTCCTCACCCCCATCTTCAGGCTTTGAGGGCCCCAGCCCACCCTGGGCCCTCTGAGGCTTGGCCTTAGCGGTAGCCTGTGGGTGCTTATGGCCAGGAGGTCTCAACAGGCCTTTGCCTCTTGCTTGTCTGCCTTGTGAGTGGGTTGGGTGATTTTTTCCCCCCATTTTGCAGGCTGGAGACTTAGATTCAGAGAGACAGAGTCAGCTGTGAAAGATCCGACATGGAACCCCAGATTTTGCTTCAAATTCTAGGCACCCAAGCAGATATCGAGGTCTTTTCAGAATTTGCTTGGGTGTGTGCCCACATCTCTTCTAGTCCTTGCTGGAGCAGCTGTCTGCCCTCTGGCCTAGAATCCCTAATCCTTTTCTGGGGCCCCCACAGCCTTGACTGCTTCCTCCTCTTTCCCCAGAGACAGGGGGAAGGCACATATCTCAACATGTCCTGGAATGAATTCTTCAAGAAGACAGGCATTCGGTAAGCTGATGCCTTGGCATGCTCTGTGGGCCCAGGCAACTAGGGTGGCCTCTTTGTGGCTATTCCTTTCTTTGCCCTACAGTAGCCCCATCCCCCTTACCATTCCTCTTGCCATCCCCCTTACCATCCCTCCAGGCCTGGAGTAGTTTGGGGCAGCTGGATCCTTGTCAGTACTTTTCCCTCTGGGCAACTCCAAATCCCTGGGTATGCTCCGACTTTTAGATTTTTGTTCAGTGACCTGTGGAGCATGGCCTTGCTTTCTGAACTGTCCTCTGTGCTGCCCCTGGGAGTTTATACTGTCCCCATGAATTGGCAGGCAGGTCAGGGTTTCGGGAGGAGGCACCCTTGGCTTCCCTCTTACTAATGTGATTCTCCCCACCTCAGAGATTGGGACCTGTGGGACCCAGACACACCCCCTGCAGAGCGTTGTCTTCTCAGTGCCCGCCTTTTTCCTGTGCTCCATCCTTTGAGGGCTCTGGGGCCCTGGGACATGCTATGGATGCTGGATCCCCCAGAGGATGGGGGTGAAGCCCTGAGGGCCTGGCGAGCCTCTTGGCGCCTGTCCTGGGAGCAGTTGCAGCCGCACCTGGACCGGGCAGCCACACTGGCCTCCCGCCGGGACCTGTTCTTCCGCCAGGCTCTGCATAAGGCACAGCATGTGCTGGAGACCCGGCAGGACCTCAGCCTGTGCCCGTTAATCCGGGCTGCTGTCCACGAGGGCTGTTCTGGGCTACTGCTGGCCACACTGGACCAGGGTGAGTCAGCCCAGGGTCGCTGGTCCTGCATGCCCTATGCGCCAATTACCATGACTAGGAGCCATGTGACTCCACAGCAGTGAAGACACCCAATGGAGTTTACTTAGCTTTTTGGGAAACTTCATCTCTGTCAGTGCGGAGTTTGGTCAGGGTTATGGCCTGGTTGCTCAGTCTCTGGGTCCTAGAAACATGAGCAAACTTGCATGTTCTATGCTGGGTGCCAGGGTGTATGTCTGAGGCCCCAGACATATTTTCTGGGGGCTTAGAGCCTTTACTTTGGAGGTAGTGCCTCATTCATAGTTCCACAAAGCACTGGAACTGTGAAACATTAATGGTCCCTGTTTAAGTCACTCTCCCACACAGCTAGTTGCTGGGGAGATTGAGCTTGAACCTGGGTGGTTTGACTGCTGAACCTGAGCTCTTAACTGCTGTGGGTGTCCTGGGTCAGAGTGAAGAAGCACATTTGGGCTGGAGCTGTCAAGATGAGAACTTTTTGCCGGGCAGAGAATAGGGTACATTCATAGGCAGGGGTGAGGGATCCAGAGTGTTTGGGGACTATTGAGTAGTCTTTGGGAGCAAAGGGTGTTGGAGATAAGTTCCTTCCCTGTCATCCCTAACTCCTAACCCCCAGTTGCAGCGAGGGCAGGAGATCCTGGTGTGGTAGCACGTGCTCTGGCCTGTGTGGCGGATGTACTGAGCTGCATGGCAGAGGGTCAGGGAGGCTTACGGAGTGGGCCAGCTGCGAATCCTGAATGGATGCGGCCCTTCTCATACCTGGAGTGCGGAGACCTGGCAGCGGGTGTGGAGGCACTTGCCCAGGAGAGGGACAAATGGCTGAGCAGGTGGGTACTAATGAAAGTCACAACCCTTTGAGAAGCTCCTGGCCATCCAGGGAAATAGCTCTTGATGGTGGAAGCCCAGAGACAGGTGGGTCATCCAGGTAACTGCCCCCAGCTTGAGGTGCCATGTTGCTATCTTCCTTCCCTCTGGGCAGGCCAGCCTTATTGGTGCGAGCTGCCCGCCACTATGAGGGGGCTGGGCAGATCCTGATCCGCCAGGCTGTGATGACAGCCCAGCACTTTGTCTCCATGGAGCCAGTGGAGCTGCCAGCACTTGGGCAGTGGGTGATAGCTGAGTGTCCAGCCCGTGTGGATTTCTCTGGTGAGCTCCTTTTGGGGTTAGGGGTGACAGTAATCACACAGGGCCAGGCTGGCAGGCTCCATGACCAGTTTGTCAAACTTCTACAGGGGGCTGGAGTGACACACCACCGCTTGCCTATGAGCATGGTGGGGCAGTGCTGGGCCTGGCTGTGCGAGTAGATGGCCGCCGGCCTATTGGGGCCAGGGCACGTCGCATCCTAGAACCTGAGTTGTGGCTGGCCGTGGGGCCTCGGCAGGATCAGATGGCTGTGAAGATAGTGTGCCGGAGCCTGGACGACCTGAAGGATTACTCCCAGCCCCATGCCCCAGGTCAGGACATCTGTGGATGGGGATGGCATATGCAGCCAGCCAGGGTCGGGGCAGAACCTGGAGCTCTCTCCAGATAGGACTGCAGGCTCCTGGGACCTAGCCAGTATGGTTGAAGAGCCCCCAAAGGAAAGGAAGTCACTCTGCCTAGGCACATACAGGCACAAGAAATAGAATGAGGGGCTGTGGTTGTGGCTCAGCGGTAGAGCACTTGCCTAGCATGCGTGAGGCTCTGGGTTCCATCCTCAGCACCACATAAAAATAAACAAATAAAATAAAGGTATTGTGTCCATTTGCAACTGGGAAAAAAAAAAAAAAGAAATAGAGATGACACTTTTGCCCATGTTAGAGGCCCTATTGTGGCTTGAGGATGGGGCCTGTGCTGCTGCTGGACTTTTTGTTCCACCAGATGAACCCTATCCCAGACTGGGAAGTTGCAAGGTTTGGTGGGATGTCTGATTTGTGTCACAAGAAACCACATTATTTACTTTGTGCCTATTCCTCTACAGGGGCCCTCCTGAAGGCAGCCTTTATCTGTGCGGGGATTGTGCACGTCCACTCTGAGCGCCCACTGCGTGAACAACTGCTGCATACCTTTGGGGGTGGCTTTGAGCTGCACACCTGGTCTGAGCTGCCCCATGGTTCCGGCCTTGGTGAGTGGGCCCTGGCTCCCTGCTGCCCACCTGCCCTATCACAGCTCTCTAGCTTGGCTTGCAAACCCACCTCCCTAACCTCTGCACAGCCAAAGAGTGGGGCAGGATTGGCCCGGCAGAGGTGGTTCATGCCTAGTGCCTTCCTTTGTGCCCTGCAGGTACCAGCAGCATCCTGGCAGGTGCTGCCTTGGCTGCCTTGCAACGGGCTGCAGGCCGGGTGGTGGGCATGGAGGCCCTGATACATGCAGTTCTACACCTGGAGCAGGTGCTCACCACAGGTATGAGATGGCCCAGGGTGGGGCCATCTTTCCCAAGGCCTTGGGGAGATCCCCTGAGTTTACATGGAATTTTCCAGCAGCCACATAACTGTACTGCTCCTTAAAATGGTTGTAGTTTATCACTTTGATGTTCTCTAGTGGTTTTCAACTTGAAATTTCTACCTTGAAGGAGCTGATGTCTTATAACCACCTACTGAGTGCCAGAATCTGTTGCGCTTTTCATGTGTGTTGGGTATCTGTGGGCACCAGTCACTAGTTTCTCTTACTCTTCCCACTTCCAGACTGTCCTTCAGGGTCAGTGGGGAAAGCAGTATGGAGTGAAGGAGAGACTTCAGCCTGCCCTTCTGGCAGTGTGCCTTTTTCTTGGTCATCTGTACCCCTGCTGCTCCCCAGCCATATGGAGGAGCAGCAAGGGCCAACCAAGGATATGATCTAATCGGATGTTCCTGGCACCAGGCCTCTCTCCTCCTGGCTGCTGTGTTGCCTTGGAATCATGCATCAATAGAGCGGTCAGGGACTTGTCTGATTCCAGATCCTAGGCTGTTCTGTTCACCCAGGCCTGGTCTCCAGCATGGCTCTGGAATAAAACTGCCACAGATGCTGGATTATGGCAGCCATACTCCTCTTCCTCTGCAGCCAGCCCTCTGCTTTCATTGAAATGACTCATAGCCCATAATAGGTAGTCATTAGTGAAAGGGTTAGATAGAGAGTTCTTTTCAGTTTCCTTCGGGATGTGCTATTCAAGTTCTTCATTTCGTCAACTGACAGCTATTTATTGAGAATCTACTGGGGATCAAATGAGGAAAAACATGGTCCTTGCTTTTAAAAGTCATAGTGTATAAAGAAGATGGACATTAATCAATAACCACTTTAATGAGTGTATCATGTTAAACCGCACTAAGTGCTCTGAAGGAGAGGGGCACATTTCAAGGGGTTTTTAACATTTTGAGTTGTATCCTATCACTGTGTTTTAGCTAGAAAGTTCCAGTTGCCTCTTACCATTTGCATCCTGTACTTTAAATCCTTTCAGGCCCTTTCTCAGTTATCAAAAGCCTGTCTCAGAAGCAGCTCAAGTTCTGTCAGTATTTTAAAATTTTTTGTTGGTACCGGGGATTGAACCCAGGGGCACTTTACCACTGAGCTACATCCCTAGTCCTTTTTAAATTTTTTACTTTGAGACAGGGTCTTGCTAGGTTGATTTGGGCCTCACTAAATTGCTGAAGCTGGCCTTGAACTTGTGATCCTTTCACCTCAGCCTCCTGAGTTGCTGGGATTACAGGTGTGTGCCATGGCATGTGGCCACTTTTGTTTGTTTGTTTATTTTTGGTACTGGGAATTACACCCAGGGGCACTTTATCACTGAGCTTCATCCCCAGCCGTTTTTATTTTTTATCACAGGGTCTTTCTAAGTTCGTGAGGCTGGCCTTGATTTTGTAATCCTCCTGCTTTAGCTTCCCAAGCTGCTATGATTACAGGTGTGCATCACTGTGCTCAGTTACTTTTATTTATTTTTAAATAAATGATGTTGATCCTCCTGCCTTAGCCTAAGTAGTTGGGACTATAGGCATGTGCTACTTTGCCCAACTTTGTCACTTATATAGCTTCAAAGGGAAGAAATTCATAACTTTTATTACTAAAGCAAGATGTATTCATCTTTGAAGTTAAATTAAAAAAATGAGAGATGCTGAAAAGCTTATTTCCAACATAAACTGAGAAGACAAGATGAGAGGGGACCATTAGCTACGGGAATTACTATCCCCTCTCTTCTGGCTATAACTTCCCTGGAAGGGAGGGTTAGTTACAGTTGTTCTTTGATATGGTTTACCCGAATTCCAAACTGAGGCCTGTGAATACCAAACTTGGCCCTGGACTGCAGCCTTCTCCCTTGCTGGGACTGGGCTGCTCCCAGGTTTGGGGACAGAAGCTGAATAGCTTACCTGTCCCAGCTGGAGTTGGGGGAACTGTCTTCCCATATTCGTCTCAGCCATGGATGCAGAGTCAGGAGCTTGTGCTGGAATAGTGAAGTTGGGCCAGTTAGGCTCCAACAATGATAATGCCCTGCGATTGCAGGAGGTGGCTGGCAGGACCAGGTGGGTGGCCTAATGCCTGGCATCAAGATGGGGCACTCCCGGGCCCAGCTGCCACTGAAGGTGGAGGTCGAAGAGATAACTGTGCCTGAGGGCTTTGTCCAGAAGCTCAATGACCACCTGCTCCTGGTGTACACTGGCAAAACCCGCCTGGCACGGAATCTACTGCAGGTGAGCCCAAGCCTAGGATGAGGGAGGCAGTGGCACAGCGGGGCCTGGGTCTTCATCACACCTCTTCTGCTCCATCTGCAGGATGTGCTGAGGAGTTGGTATGCCCGGCTGCCTGCTGTGGTACAGAACGCCCACAGTCTGGTGCAGCAGACCAAGGAGTGCGCAGAAGCCTTCCGCCAAGGTGAGGTGTTCCTTCTAAGGGAGGTTGGGGCATGAAGAGCAGGAGCCTTGACACTATGGATCTTAGAGGCTAGGGGCCTTTCTAGGTTTGGCATAGGCCCAAGGTATGAAGGCCTCCGGGGATGGAAGCATTCCGTCTGTCCCCTCCAGGATCTCACACGTAAGATAGGAACCATGTGGACAAAACTTGACTCATGAGAAAGGCCCTTCAGTCCCACATAACAGGAAGCAGATGAGGAAAGAGGCTCATCCTGTTGCATGGAAGTCAGAGCTAAGCAGGGCTCCAAGTGTGTGGCTACAGTGTTTTCTGAATACTGACTATGCTGGGTGGGCACCATGTCAGTTGCTTTGTGTGGATTAGTCCTCAGCCCTGTGTAGTGAGCTTTATTATTCCTCTTTCCTGCCAGTGCAGCAGTGGGATAATCGGGACACCGGTATAGTGCCTCTTTGCACTGCATTTCCTCTACCAGTGGGTGTTGAGTGTCTTGGCCCAGGCATGCCACTCCCTTCTTTGCCCCAACTCCAGGAAGCCTGCCTCTACTGGGACAGTACCTGACCTCATACTGGGAACAGAAGAAGCTCATGGCTCCAGGCTGTGAGCCCCTGGCTGTGCGGCGAATGATGGATGTCCTGGCTCCCCATGTACATGGCCAGAGCCTGGCAGGGGCAGGTGGTGGGGGCTTTCTCTATCTGTTGACCAAGGAGCCACGGCAGAAGGAGGCTTTGGAAGCTGTGTTGGCCAAGACTGAGGTACAACAAGGTGTCAGGGTCAGCTGGTGGGGGTGAGACACCTCACTGGAGCCTGCCAACTCACCAGGGGCTGCATCTACGAGTCCCCCTGGTCCTGCTGCCTTAGTCCAGCCTCTAGAAGGCCTGAGAGTTGCTCAGAGCCCTCTAAGTACCTTCTCTCTTATCCAGGGCCTTGGCAACTACAGCGTCCACCTGGTGGAAGTGGATACTCAGGGCTTGAGCCTGCAACTTCTAAGGAATGAGGCCTCCTCCTGATGCTTTGCAATGAAGCTGGGCAACACCTGGAGCTGTCTTTCCTTTTCCTCTTTCCCCTGTGGGAGATCTCAGCCTGCTATGCCCCATTTATTTCTTTGAATCTGCTTCCAAAGGAAGCAAGACTTGGGCAAGTGAGGCAATGCTTAGGGACAGACTGTACATCCTGGCTGACAGTAGCTGAGGCTTGGCTTCTGCTCCATCTGAACTCAGGAATGTTCTAAGCTGTGTCCTATGTGGCCTTTACAAATTCTGTATCCCAGTGTAGGCCTTGGCTTTTTCTCCACTAGGACCCTGGAGGAAGGGAATGACAACCAGCCACACCAGGTGGCTAAGGAATCCTTTGGTGAGGCCAACCCTGGAGAGGCCCTTTGAGTCATTTCCTGTGGCCTGTTTTAGTGTTGGAGACATGCGTAACCCTCATTCCTCAGCTCTTCTGGGGGAGTGGGTTGAGGGTGGGGCTCCATGGGGGTCCTGCAGCAATTTTCTACCCACCCAGGCCTTAACCAGAAACACTACAGACAGTGCTAAAGGACCCAGTGCCTGTGGGCAATGGCTTCTCAAGAAGGACATCTTGGAATAAATTCACTTTGCCCTTCATGGTTCTCAGAAAGCTTTCTTGTTCCTGCTGGGAGCAATTCCCACTTCTCTTGGCACCGTAGGAAAACGGCCCTGGTGTGATCCAGCTTCTGGAAGTGAGGGTCCAAGATGGGGGTGAGAATATAGGATTGAATGAGGGCGCCTATGGACTTGTGGGTCCTGGAGGTGGCTGGGTACTGCCTTAAGTGTGGGAGGAGGCTGAGGTCTTAGGCATTTAACTTCACATTTCAGTACAACTGGCAGACCTGCCCTGCCTGGAACCAGCACACTGTGGCATCTTAGTAGTGTCTTTATTCGGATGTTTATTTGTAAACATCACAGCCTCTAGTCAAACCTAATTCCCAAGTCCCCAGATGCACCCAAGTCCTCTAAGGTGCTGGCAGGGGCAGCATGTTCGCTACAGTGTTTGTGGGTAAGAGAATGACCACCCATGCAAAAGGCTAGCCTGGGTCACATGCTGCCTGCCTTGGCCCTCCCATCTCTCTTGGTGGGGGAAGGCTGTTCCCAAAGCACCACCCAGCTAGGTCTGAGGGCCAAGGATGGAGTAAGTCCAGGCCTTGTTTTCCTGTTGTCCGTAGTTGAATGGTCCTGAGCTGTCGAAGCTCCCCAAAGCCAACCAGCCTCGCACTGCTCCTTGGCTATGGCTACTGAGGAACCAGTCCTTGAAGGGTGATGGGCTGGTTGGGCTCACTCTGGCAGCTATAGGCGCAACCTTTTGATGTCCTCACTGCGGAAGTCTATGCGCAGAGCCAGCACCTGACGCACTTCAGCAGGGGTGAGGCGCCATGTCAGTGGGCCAGAGTTGGCACCCCAGTAATCTAGGATCTCAGTCACCTGTGATTAAAAAGAGAAACCACTCAGCAAGGTGGGGGGCTATCCTGAGGGAAGGCCCTGGGCTCCACCAAGGGCAAAGCAGGGTACCTAGGAAGGGGAAGGTACCCCACAGGGTTGGGCTGCTGATAGACATGAGAAAGTGACAGGGATCCAAAGTTTTGTTTTTGCCTCTTTCCAGTCTCTCTTCCTGGCTAGGCTGAGGAAGCTCTACATACCCGCTCCAGATTGAGGATTGTGGCCATCTGGGAGAGCCGGGCAAACTTGTCTCTTATGGTCCAGGTTGTCACGGTGGTAAGGTAGGCAATGAGTGACCTCAGCTCCTTGTCAAACTGGAGACCACCCAGCTGAAGAGAACACAAGCCAACGTTCTGTTTAAGGTGGGGACAAGCAGCACTAGTCTCCAACTGCCCTCAGAACTGAGAGACAAGGCCAGCTGGGCCTCAGGCAGTGCCAAGTGGCTTATTTGCTCTAGGGCATTAGAAGACAGGGCAGGATTGGGCCCACAAACGTAGGGTCTGCAGGTGGCAGAGCATTGAAGTCTTGGGAAGGCATGACTTGTTTTCTTCAGACGAAAGAGGTGTGAATCTGGGCTCCCTTGACCTTACCCGGTTAAAGGTGGATTTCAGCACCACTTTCTCCAACTCGACGGCAACAAGGCTGGTCATGAGGCCGGTCAGGCTGTCATAGATGACTGGGGACAGGCTGGCCTGCACAGAGGCGTGGTATCAGTGGAGTCCTGCCTAGCCCCTCTGTCTCTCACTGGAGTCTTCAGGAGAAGGGGACAATTACATAAGACCATGGGGGAGTATTTCCAAGGCTGGGGCTCAGAAGGGCTTTCAGAGTTTGCAGCAGGTGTGATAAGACACAAGCTGCTGGTGTGGACAGAGATGGGTAGTTCCCTAAGCCCCCACTCACCTTGAACTCTGCCATTTGCTGTTCCAGGTTAAGGATGAACTGTTGTACCCAAGGGTCATTGGCCTCATAGTCATTGAATTCTTCCTATTGTCATGAAGCAAGGGGGGGTCAACATGGGCCTCTAAGAAGTACCACTTACTCCCACCCCTTCTTTACCCCTCTATGAAAAAAAATTTAAGAGGCCCTTCCTCTCTGTAGCCTCTGACTCCTCCAGTTCAGAACCAGCTAGTCTTCCAGGCTGGCAGAACTGCTGCATCACACCTCTAGCCACGAAAGAGCCCTGGGCTGTGGAGCCATGACAGACTATGGCAAGGCACCTGGCTGCATGTTTCTCCTGCAGCTCATGTTTTATAGGAGCGAAATCACTAGGCTAAGGGAAAAAAATTCCTGAGTCTACAAGATGTGGGGCAAAAAAAGCCTCAGTAAAAAGAGATAGGTCTAGGCAAATTCCCTTCACATGTTTCTCTGATGCAGCAACAAGCTGTTTCTCGGGAGGAACCTAGTCTTTGAGAGGGAGGCAGCTGAGCAGTACGCTAAGGTCTAGTGTGATCAGATGGCTCCACAGTCCTCTTGCTGGGGTGGGGGAAGGGTAAGCCTGGGCTTGTGGACTGCAGTGGTCAGGCTGACCTCCTCGATGTTGTGCGAGACAGAGAGAAAGGTGTTGATCCAAGGCTGCACCTGTGGTTTGACTGCTGTGCTGTTGAGCTCCGTCAGCCCTTCCTATGCAATGACAGGGCAGAGACACATCAGTCACACATACCCCACCCTTTCCGTTTTTTTCTATCCCTCCCTCAAGTGCAGGGTACTCTTGCAGCTCTGAGGCCCTCTACAAACCCTATGGAAAGCAGAACGGAGATCATGCTCATAAAAGGATCCAGAAACAAAAGCTCCTTTTCCAGATCTGTGCAGATTCAGGTCCAGAATGAAGTCCTGAGGTTGTTTTAGTAAACTCTCAAAAGGAGATTTTATAGTGCCTAGTTCTGAGCAGCACCTGTGACTAAGGGCCAACAGCAAGTCAGAGTAACCAGCAGGTTACTTTGAGTATCTTTCTGAGGTACCACATGGAGATTCTGGGGCTTACCTGCAAAAGGTCTCGGAATTTGTTTGATACAGCAGCCAAGTCAGAAAGGCAGCTGTCAAACTTGGCCTGGGCCTGCTCACCTCCAATGCCCTGGCTGAACAGCTTGGTGCAGTCACTCTAGGAGAGAACACAGCTTTAGGCTACTAAGCACACCTATGCCATGGGAATGGGAATGGTGAGGAGGTGCAGAGGAGGCCAATATGACACCAGCCATCTCTTCTTCTCCTCCAGCCCTTTTTTGGGGGAGGGCAGGTACTGTGGATTTAACTCGGGGACACTTTACCTCTGAGCTATATCCCCATCCCTTTTTAAAATTCTGAGACAGGGTCTTACCAAGTTGCTCAGGGTCTCACTAAGTTACTGAGGCTTGTCTTGAACTTGTGATCCTCCTGCCTCAGCCTCCCAAGTTGCCCCTGCCTCCAGCCTTCTCTATGAGCAGATTTGACCTATCGTATGCAAGAGTCCTTATGGCCTTCAAAAAACCTGAATTCTATTCTTGTGGCTCTTCAGTTGGCTCCTACTTCCTACTGTAATATAGGGAGAGGGGAGGTGAAGAAAAAATATGCCAGAAATTTTTTTATACCTTTAGAGCCAGACATTTTGAGGTTCAAGTCCTGGATCAGCCATGTATTTGTTGAGTGACCTTGGGCAAATGATTTAAAGTTTCTGAGATTTAATTTCCCTATCCATAAAACAGGAACACAGATTCCTGTTCCTTTGGTGCTTGCGAATTGTATGAGATAATACACAAAATGCCTGGTGCATTGTAAGCACTACGGAGATACTCATCATTATCATTTTGTGGTACTGGAACCCTTTACCCCTGAGTGACATTTCCAGCCCTTTTTTCTTTTGACAGTTTTTGTTGTTGTTATTTAATATTATTTCTTACTTATAGATAGACATAAAACCTTTATTTTATTTATTTTTATGTAGTGCTGAGGATTGAACCCAGTGCCTTGTGTGTGTTAGGCAAGTGCTCTACCATTAAGCTATAACCCCAGCAAGGGTCTTGCTAAGTTGCTGAGGCTGGCCTCAAACTTTTGATCCTCCTGTCTCAGCCTCCTGAGTGGTTACCATGTGTTACCATACCTGGCTGACACTATTATTGCTGTACTTTTTACCTCTTCAATATTTAGGACTGACTGTCAAAGGGAAATTATCACAGTCATTACTCAGATTTAACTAAGGCACAGAGAATTTAATAACTTACTAAAGCCATAGCAGTAGGTTGTGGAACTGGGATTGTACCTCAGGAATTGCAGCTTCAGGGTGTTTGTTCCCGATCACTGCACTACAGCCCAGGTGTAGAGAACTTCATAGGGGTCCAGCCTGAAGCTCATGGTAATTTGGGTTGCCAGGAGCTGCCCACATTTCTTGTAGTAGTCCTTATAAAGTTTGTGCTGTTTTGGATACAGCAGAAGCAGTGTGGAGAGATGCAAATGAACTGGTTTATTGGGCAGCAGACCCAGCTCCCACACTCAGCCTGTTCACCTCATCTGGAAATGGGTATCAGCCCCCTGAATCTGCTTATCACAAAGAGCTGCTGATGAGGCTGAGAAAGAGTATCTTTGAAATGCAAGTCTAATTTATGGGAATTTCTCCGTTTTTTTTGCTACCCACCTTTTATTTGGCTAATTCTACTGGCTTAGTTATGAATGTCTAACATTTCCTAAAATTTTACTTAAAAATACAACAGATTGACAAGGATGAAGCCATGCAGAGTGCTTTGGTGTACGCCTATAATCCCAGTGGCTGGGGAGGCTGAGGCAGGAGGATTGCAAGCTGAAGGCCAGCCTCAGCATCTTAGTGAGACGCTGTCTCAAAAAAAAAAAAAGGGGGGGGGGGGGCGGGGGATGTAGTTCAGCAGAAAAGTGCCCCTGGGTTAAATCTCCATTGCCAAAAACAAACAAAATACTCAAACAGGATGATGCTAGGAATACAATCTCAAGTGCCATGACTTAAAAACAATGATGAAAGCCTCCTTGTTAAACACACGACACAAGAGACATGTTATTGATACATTGTGAGCATCACCTTATTTTATTCTATTTGAGAGCCTCCTTGGGGTAAATTCCTAAGTTAGTCCATATCTCCATATCCTGAGCTCAGGAACTCTGTTAGCTACTAGGCCTGTGTGCTGATTCCAGCCTCTTCCTTGGTCTTCACAGTGCCCACTTCACAACAGCTTGTGCAAGCAGCCCTTTGCCTCTGCTGCAAAGCCTCTGCCTCTATAGTAGTACCCACTGGAGGCAGGACCCTAGCCTCCTTCGTATCCCAGAGGCTGAGTCTAGGAGTGGAGAAGAATTGGGCACCTCATTTCCTAATATTTAGCAAAATGATTGATCCATGCTATTCTTTTTGTTTTGTTTTTTAATACCAGGAATTGAACCCAGAGGTGCTTTATCTCTGAGCCACATCCCCAACCCTTTTTATTTTGAGACAGGGTCTCTCAAATTGCTCAGTTAGTTACTGAGGCTGGCTTTCAACTTTCAATCCTCTTTCCTCAGCCTCTCAAGGGACTAGGATTATAGCATACACCAGCCATGCTGTTATTTAACTATTATAATTAATAAGTACCATTGAGGGGCTGGGGATGTGGCTCAAGTGGTAGCATGCTCGCCTGGCATGCGTGTGGCCTGGGATCGATCCTCAGCACCACATACAAAACAAAAGATGTTGTGTCCGCCGAAATTAAAAAATAAATATTAAAAAAAAAAAGTACCACTGAATTCCTTTTCTGTATCAGGTGTTTTATATTATTGTATTCACTTGACTATAACTTCCTTGGGGAAGAGGTTACGATTCCTGCTTTAAAAGTGAGGAGGCTGGGGCTGTAGCTCAGTGGTAGAGCATTTGCCTAGCATGTGTGCGGCACTGGGTTTGATCCTTAGCCCAACATAAAAATAAACAAATGAAATAAAGGCATACCGTCCATCTACAACTACTAAATAAATAAACAAACAAACAAAAAAGTGAGGAGACCGAGGCTCAGGAAGGTTATGGAACTTGCTTAAAGCCACAGAGATCAAGTGGAGATTTGAACTCCATAGTATCTGACTTCATAGTCCATGCAATTTCTCCTCAACTCTGCTGCCTTCCTTTAAAATAACAGCAACTAAAAAAGTAAACAAACCAACAAGAACCCAGCTACTAGCTTGAACAGGGTTTGGGGATCCTTATTTAATGTCATATCCAGAGTTTTGTCATAAAAATAGTATACTTTTTTGTAAAGTGTTTTCACCTTGTTTTTCATTAGGTTACCCAACAAACCCAGGGCAGGGTAGAGATCTGTCCCTCATTTTACAGATGACAAAACTAAGGCTCAGAGAACTAAGGCTCAGAGTTAAGGGACTTGGCTAAGGTTCTATGTCAAATATGAGCTGGAAGATCTAATTTGAATTCTAGTCTTCCTACTCATGGCCAGAGCTTTCCCCATGGTCCACAGATGTCTTGTTATCATGACAATCACTAATGAATCCCCCTGAGTATGGCTCAAATGAGAGAATGCTCCAGTCCCCACCATAATGAGTATAGGGCTGTTTCTCAAAATGGCAAGCTATAGCTGCTAAAAGCTGATAGGCAATTTCCCTTGTACCTCCAGAGTCTTCTTCAGAGTGGAGATGTTTTCACTGCAGACTTCCACATTGTTCAGAGTCACCTGTGAGATGAAGAAGGAAAAATGTGAGGTCCTGTTCACTGGGCTTGCTGCCTACTCCAATGCCAGACTGGCTGACAGTTGTACTCCATGAGGCTCAGAGAGGGCTCTAAGATGCTAAGGAAAGCCCGCATCACCGTCATCAGGTGGGATACTTAGGTCTTGGACTGGGGAGAATGGTGAACAAGGTTCACCTTTTCTTCTGTGCCTGATGCCAAGACAGCAAAGCATCAGGACTGCACAGGGAGAGCCTAGTTTCCAGGTTTTTTTGCTCCATGTTACTTACAGAACAGAAATGACTCAGGCACACAGGTCAAGGATAAGTCCTGGCCTCCAAATTGGCAATCCTGGGCTAGGGATATAAGGTCTGATGTTTACTAACCAAGAGCTTCCAGAGAGCCTGCCACCCAGTAGGCATTTTCTCAACTATATTCTCACTACCTCTACTGAATACCTGCCTAAAAGTATTATCAGGTCCTGTTTATAGGAGTAGGAAATGATACTCTTTAGCCGGTAAAATGGTTCACCAAGGTCGGCCGACACTGACTGACTAAATATTTACTGAGTACTTGCTATGGGCCATGCACTGTTCCAGACATCTGGGAGAAAGCAGTTCACCAAACAGACAAAATCCACCCGCTCAGGGCAGGGGAATAGCTCAGTGGTAGAGTGTATGTTCAGAATGTGTGAGGCCTAGGTTCAATTTCCAGTGTGCACAATGCACACACATGGCACAATACCATCTGTTACAATAGAGCTGACATACTTGAAGGGAAATCTGATAGTAAACAAATATATATATTATATAATGTCAGGTGGTGATAAATACTATGAAGAAAATAAAACAGGTACGGGGACAGAAACTCAAAAAAGTGATAAGGCTGGCTGGGAACAGTGGTGCATACGCATAATCCTAGTGGCTCGGGAGGCTGAGGCAGGAGGATCACAAGTTCAAAGCCTCAGCAACTTAGTGAGGCCCTAAGCAACTCAGTGAGACCCTGTCTCTAAATAAAAATACAAAAAAAGGGCTGGGGATGTGGCTCATGGTTAAGTGCCCCTGCATTCAACCCCTGGTACCAAAACAAACAAAAAAACAAACCCCAAACCAAAACCAAAACCCAAAGCTAGTGACAAGGCCACATGATTGAAACCAGGATTAGAATTCAGGGGGGTCCCCACTCGGCCAACAGCTCCTTCTTTCATTACTTCCTTAGAGACTAGAAGCAGCATGTGACAAAAGTGATTATCAAGGCACAAACTCCTACAGCTACGTAGAGGAAAGCAGAACTGCTTTGATTCTGCAGAATGCAAGGGAGGCTGTGTGGCAGAGTTGGTGGCTGAGTTGAACTTGTAAGGCTGAAATGGTTCTGAGAGGAGACGAGGGTGAGTACACTTCTGCACCCCATCAGCCTCTCCAGCTCACTATTCTATTTGGGATGTGTGTATATTGCTAGGTTTTGAAACCAGGGTCTCATACATGCTAGACAAGCTTTCTACCACTGAGCAACACTCACCAGCCCACTGATATTTTCTCAGGGGGTACATAGTTTCCTGACATTATCTGGAATACATGTTTCTTGTCTGCTTTTTCCATTAGAATGAGATCCGTGAAGGCAGGACCTAGCCTGTTTTCACCACCACTATATCTCTAGTACAGTACTATTTGACTTCTTGATAATGCAAAGATTCTAAATCTGAACTGTCTAGTATACCAGCCCCTAGCTATCTATGGTTACTGAGCACTTGAAATGTGCATTGCATGACTCGGGGACTGGATTTTTAAATATAACTTTAAGTTTTTAAAAGATTTTTTAAAATTTACTTACTAATTTTTGCAGTACTGAGGATCAAACCCAGGGAGCTCTACCACTTAGGTATATCCCCAGACCTTTTTATCTTTTGAGACAGTTGCCCAGAATGGTTTTGAACTTGCAATCATTCTGCCTTGGTCTGAGTCACCAGGATCACAGGCATCTGCCACTACACTCAGATTAAATTTAAATTTATTTATTTATTTATTTTTTGATACCAGAGATTGAACTCAGGGGCACTCGACCACTGAGCCACATCCCCAGCCCTATTTTGTATTTTATTTAGAGACAAGGTCTCACTGAGTTGCTTAATGCCTTGCTTTTGCTGAGGCTGGCTTTGAACTTGTGATCCTCCTGCCTCAGTCTCCGAGGCCACTGGGATTACAAGCGTGTGCCATCACGCCTGGATTAAATGTAAATTTAAATAGCCACTGTGGCTAGTAGCTATATGTTGGACAGCTCACCTATAGAACCTAGGACGGTGCCTGACATACAGAAGCTTATCAATCAGTATTTGTTGAATGAGTAAATTAAAGAATGAACTCTAGAAAAGGGATAATGTAAGAAAATGCAGAATGGCAGAAAAACTCTGAAATGTTTGGGAGACCAACAGAGCTCACAAACACACAGAGGGAGTGACAGTGACACAGATCTACAGGGGTAGGCGAGGTCTGAGTAGACTTTCAGTGCTGTGCTGAATAGCTGGCCCTTTGTTCTGTGGTCAGTGGAATGGCACTGAGGACTCTTCAGAGAAAAGTTTTATACAGCTGGGTGTAATCCCAGTTACTTGGGAGGCTACAGCAGGAGGATCAAAAGTTTAAGGTCAGCCTAGGGAACTTAGCAGGACTTTGTCTCAAAATAAAACAAAAAGGGGTAGGGAAGTAGCTCAGACTTACTTGCCTAGTATGTGTAAGACCCTGGATCAATCCCCAGTACTATAAGAAAGAGAAAGTAAGGACAGAAGGAAGGGGAGACAGAAAGCTGAATGCCACATGAGCACTGCTGTAGTGTACAAATACTATTCTATAGGTTGTGAGTGGGAGCAATTTGAGAGGTCTCAGTGTCTCTAGAGTGGCATGGTGTGCTGGTGGCATGGCCAGGAGGGCAGAGTAGGGAAGAGCCATAAGTCAGGAATTTAAGGACCTCAAGATATAAGGAGAATCCCAGAACTCCAGGGATTGAGACTGGGAAGTCCTTCCTCTGACTGCTTCCCTTGCTGGCTTCCTGCAGTCTATACTGAAGAATCACACTGTTGACAGTGCTGCTTAGGCCACTCTGAGTATGGAGGGAAAAGGCTAAAGGCTACAACACAAACATGCTTATTTAATAAGTTTCCAGAGAAATAACTGCACTGTCTTGACAGCTGAAGGATGAAGGCCACAACAAGAATGTTTCCAAGGCATTTAAGGACACCAAAAATAACTGCCATAAGGGGAAAATGGATTTGAATTCAGATGGTGTTGATTTCAAAGTTTCCCTTGTACTGACAATCCTTGTAAGCATGGATTCACAGGGCTTATCCTGCTCATGAAAAATGATATGTCAGTTGGGAAATTCATTCTAACAGGCAAATGAATCAAAAGTGTCATAAAAGGTAGGCTCTGTGGTGGGAATGATGATATTTTTAAGTGCTTGGCATAAGGAAAACTAGAAATTTGTCACCAAGCATTTAGCACCACCTTTCTTTTTGGCCTTATCTTTTGGATCCTCCAACAATGAAGCTTTCTGAATGGGAGGTCCTCATAGAGCAAGGAGTGAGTTGAAGGCATACTGGCCAGCCTTGAGGAAGTGTGGAGTCAAGTGGAAAACAGGACTGGAAAGATTTGGGAGGACTTAAATAGATGACCAGGTAAAGATATCTAGCTTTTATGGGGTAGGCAGCAAAGCCAATGAAAGCTTCTGCACACAGAAATGAATGAATCTTTAAGTCAATTCATGATGCTGGTTGCTAGAAATTTTGGCAAAGTTCTCCAAAGGTACCACATTTCACAGGTAACAATTTCTCGGAGCTGATCCTCTTTTCTGGCAACAATTGCAACATCCCAGATTAAAGGAACTCATGCCTAGGGAAAATACTTAGTGACAAGAGTGAGTGGGGCTGCCTAAATAGTCTTCACACTAACCAGTCTGACAGACTGGTTAATGTGGTTCCCCTGCACAGGGACAAGGTAGATTTTAGTAAGTTAGGACTTCTGTCTCTAAAAACAACACTTTGAACTCTTGGGGTTACAGACCTCTTTAATAATCCGACAGACTAAGGACCTTACTTCTAGAAAAATGTATATATACAATTTTGCATCCATCACCATCTATGGACTGGTGAAGGAGAGCTCTGTTATTGGATGTTTCCTTCAGTCTCTGAGCCTCAGAAACCAAGACTCAGAATCTAGCCAATATAAAGGATGGAGCATAATGGACTTGTGACAGTGCTATTCCCACTCGGGCCAAGAGGCATGGGCCAGAGAGGCCTGATAATGAACTTCAGAGTCCTGTGTTCCCAGTGACTCATCATGAACTGGATGTTACTTTCTATAAGACCTTTCATTCTTCCATGCTTCTCCATTTTCAACTGTCACAAAAATTTGCCCTGTAAGACTCATTGCTTCAATTGTACCTGTCATTTATTCTAAGCAGCTAAGGGCTATAACAGGGTCACCTTTCCAAAGGAAGTTGCTAGAAAAGCAGTCTTGGCAGGCATTAGCACCTACCCCTTCTGTGAGTCTCTCCTCAGAGAAGCAGTCTGGAGACCTGGCAGATGCACACCAAGCTGGCTACCCTGTGGGACCACTGAAGAGCCAGGCAGAGGTCTTGGGAATGAGCATTCAGGAGAGTTGAGGAACCCAGTCTTCCAGCAGGAAAAAGTGCATATTTAGGCTGTGGGTGTGGCTCAGTGGTAGGGTGCTTGCCCAGCATGTGTGAGGCCTTGGGTTCAATCTCCAGCATCCCCCACTCCCCCAAAAAGCATATCTTGGGCTCAGGCTGCTCAGAATAGGTCCCTGCATAAGAGCCTCATAGAGACTTTTTTCTGTACAGATAATGAAGGCAAAGTCTTCACCTTGAGGCTTTTTATACTATGGCTTAGAGGTCACAGTTTAACCTCTCAAGAAAAACTGACCCAGGTCCCAATCTTTGGGTCACCTACCAGAAAGGACAGCTTGGCCTCATCAGTGCTCTCGATGCCTTTTGTGTCAAATTTGCCCTGTTGGAGGCTGCTGTGCATGATGTTCACGGCACTTGTCACCCCACGCTGGATATCCTGTAAGGTGGTTGCTGGGAAGCCCATCCGCAGCTTGTTACACAGAACATCCCTAGGGGGCAGAATGGCATATGGGGAGTGACAGTGCTCAACCTGGCCTCTAGGACGGTATGATTGAAGTGTCCATAACCCTAACCCAGCAACACCATCTACTCTTCTGGGGAGATAACTAAATCCTGTAGACCACTATAGGAGACCTTAGGACTCAGGGTATGACAGTAATCAACACTCCCTCAAGGATACAAAAATTTACAGAGGAGATTGAACTTTTTTTTTTAATTGATACATAGCAGAGTTGGGGGAAGGGGAAGGAAGGATTCAGTTTCTACACTGTCTATTCTACGATGGTATTGATGATGTCATTTTAGTTGTGCCTTTAGCCAATGTACTTCTTATGAGGCTTTTAGTTATTAATACGAGCTCTAACAAAGAGGAGGCAGTACAGCTTAGTGAAAGGCAGTACCATGTAGGAGTTGAGAGGAAAGGTTTTGAATCAGTTCTGGACTCTACTACATCACTTATGGGGTGAGTGATCTTTGACAAGGTATAGAATCTGCTAAGCCCCAGTTTCTACATCTACAAAATACAGCTAATAGCTCTTACCTCATAGGGTTGTTACTAGAACTAAAAGAGTAAGGAATTAGCAGTGCCTGGCTCGCAGAAATAGTAACTATGATCATTATTATAACTACTGTTTTCATCTGAATCACCTCTTTTTCTTCCTAGGTTTGAGACCAAAGACCCCTTCATCCCAATGGAGGGAACAGAAATTTGCACTTAAGGTACCTCACTGATGGGTATCTGCTGGGAGCCAAGGATGTTGTGTTAAGGATAGAAGTTTTTATTTTATACAGACCTGAACTAGAATCATAAAGAAAATTAAGAAACAAATGGGCTTGGGAATCAACCACTACTAGGACCTTTGTACCTGAGAAGCAGAAAGGCAGTCAAGTGTACCTGAAGTCAGCCTCTAGTTCTGTGGTAGCAAGGTTGATCATGGCACAGAGACAGTCGATGCTGGAGCTGGACAGAGCTCGCCCAATGCACTTCTTAACAATGTAGAAGACGTCATCTACCATGCTGGATGTCAACTGACCCTTCTCATAGGTGTCAAGAGCCACAGCCTACCCAAAAGACAAAGTACCCAGTGAGTATCCCAGTTCTGCATGTCATGTTCTAGATGGTTCTGGTTATATAGTTCTGGCTTTGCTCCCTTTTCTATATCTTACCCATGTTTTTCACAATATGGCATATTCTTTTTTTTTGGTATTAGGGATTGAACTCAGGGGCCCTTAACCACTGAACCACATCCCCAGCCTTTTTTTTTTGTATTTTTATTTGGCTTTGAACTCAAGATCCTCATCTCAGGCTCCTCCCAAGCCACTGGGATTATAGGCATGTGTCACCACACCCCGTGTAATATGGCATATTCTTCTCACAAGCTTGCCAAAATAGCTAGCTTCTCTATATTGATTACTACATCATGAAATTTTATGTTAATGGCCTTTGTCTTGGAAACATCCATCACCTAGGATTTCAGACATAGGAGACTGTACTTCCTCAAGGCTCCTCACCTATATACCTCCAGGAAGGTTGGGAACAAGTAGGCTCCCTGGGGAGCGGAGCTGTTCTTTTGTATTCTTTGGAAAAGAAATCCCAATTTGGTATATGAACAGTTATGACAAAAGTTATGGTAAGAGTATCCAAAGGGCTGGGGAGATAGCTCAGTTGGTACAGTGCTTGCCTTGCACGCACCAGGCCCTGGGTTCAAGCCCCAGCACCACAAAACAAAAACAAAAACAAGAGTATCCAAAAATACTTCTTATCATATAAAGTAGTGACACTCAGTCCACATGTAAAATTATTCTTAAAGCAGGACCAAGCTGGGTGCCATGGCGCACGCCTGTAATCTAGTGGCTCAGGAGACTAAGGCAGGAGGATTGCAAGTTCAAAGCCAGCCTCAGCAACTCAGCAAGACTCTGTCTCTAAACAAAATACAAAAAAAAAAAAAAAAGACTGAGGATGTGGCTTAGTGGTTAAGTGCCCCTGACTTCAATCCCTGGTACCAAAAAAAAAAAGGACCAAAAAATATGACAGGCCTCAGCTACTTCCTTTAGCTTGGCTTCTTGGGACAAGCAGCCCCATAGATTTGTCCTTTGTCCTACCTTATTGACAGTCTCCCTCATGAAGTACTCCTCCATCGTAATATACAATCCAATTAGCTCCTGCATGGTACAGCTCAGTAGGCAGTTATTGAGGAGTTTGTCCAGGCACTTCTGGTGTTCTAGGGGATAGCAAAGATAGGAATATTCATTTTTTTTCCCCCAAGGGTATGGGAACAACTTTTTTCATTTTTTTTTTAAAGGTTCTTTTTTGTTCCAAATAAGTACCTGGCTTTACATGGTTATAATCATAGCACAAATGCAATTTCTATTTTGCTTTAAAATTATATCACAAATCGTTTCCATGTTTCTATATGTTTATTTATTCATTTTCCCAGTGTAGCTTACTTTTTTTTAGTACTGGGGATTGAACCAGGAGAGCTTTACCACTGAGCTATCTCCCTAACCCTTTTTATTTTGAGATGGGGCCTTGCTAAGTTGCCCAGGTTGGCCTTAAACTTGCCAAGGCTGGCTCAATTTGTGATCTTCTTGCTTCAGCTTCCGGAGTCATTGGACTAGTCAGGAGCATGCCATTGTGCCTGGCTTAGGTTACTTTTTTGTGTGTGTGTGTGGTATTATGAATTGCACCCAGGGCTTCACATATGCTAGGCAAGTACTCTACCACTGAGACTATATCCCCAGCTCTTAGCTTACTTATTTATTTTTTGGTATCAGGGCTTGAATTCAGGGGCACTCAACCACTGAGCCACATCCCCAGCCCTTTTAAGTCTTTATTTTGGGACAGGGTCTTACTAAATTGCTGAAGCTGGCTTTGAACACTTATACCACTGTGCTGGCTATTACTTATTTTTAATGGCTATACAAAAATCCATATTATTTTAGCTAATCTCTTATTTTTAGACATCTGGGTTATTTCCAAGTGTTTTGCCACTATTGGAGATAAGAAGATAGCCTCATAATTGGAGGTAACAATGTAGACTTTGGTACAAACAACTTTTTACTCTATTTTTATTATTTTCTTAGGATTAATACTAAGAGTCAAAAGATATAGCTTTCCAGGGCAAAGACTGAAATATAGTGGATACAGAACATTTCATTTTCTAAACTAGCAGTATTCAATAGGAGTTTCTGTGATGATAGAAATATTCTATATCTGTGTTGTCCACTATCCTAGCCAACAGCCATGGCAGCTACTAAACACTTCAAATGTAGCTAGTGGGATTGAGGACCTAAAGTTTAAAATATAATTTTAATGAAATCTGAATTTCAATGGTTACATGTGGCTGCTGGCTACTATATTGACAACATAGCTTTAAACCGTATGTACACTGATGAGCACCAAACTCCTAATCAGAATACATTTTTCTTTAAATGTCAAATCAGTAAATCCCTTGCTGTGTCTCATTGGTACAATCCAAGTAGCATGCCACAGACACTGGATGGGTCTCAAATCCCCAGTTCAGGAATTCTGTAGGTACTTGTCCAGCAGGAATTTGAGGTTTTTTTTTTTTTTTTTAAAGACAGTGTTTCAAAGGAGGCCCAGGCTGGCTTGAATACCCAGGCTCAAGCCTCAATGTCCTGTATATCTGGGACTATAGGCATGCACCACTGCACTGGGAAAATGGTCATCTTAAAAACCTGGAAAGTCAGGTGGGCACACTGGTGTGTGCCTCTAGTCCCAGCTATTCAGGAGGCTAAGGAGGGAAGATCCCTTGAGCCTAGAAGTTGGAGACCAGCCTTGGCAACATAGTGAGACCCCATCTCATGTCAAATACTGGAGAGTCAATCTGTAATTGAAGTTAGACTGTGCCCCCCCACCTTTCCTTCAATTGTCATTATCCCTTCAAATAAGTGTGAGTGATGGATCTGGGCATGGTAGCACACTCAGGAGGTTAAGGCCCTAAGCAACATAGGAGGAACCTGTCTCAAAAAATAAAAAAGGGCAGGGGATTTAGCTCAGTGGCAAAGTGCCACTGGGTTCAATCCCTGATACACTCCCTGGCGAAAAAAAAAAAAATGTGAGTAGTGGAACTGGAAGGCTGGGAAGGGGATAAAAACTTCCTCTGCATCATATATTTTAAAAATTTCTTATTGAGGTATAATTTATTTCACAAATTTATCCACTGTATGTGTACAATTCAATAATTTTTAGTAACTTTATAGATTTGTGCAACAATTTCCATAATCAGTTTTGTAATATTTCTTGTTCTTTTCTTTTTAGTGTTGGGGATCAAACCCAAGACCTCACATATGACATGTAAGTGCCCTGTCACTAAGCCACATCTCTGGCCATAGTTTTATAACATTTCTATCATTCCCCAAAGTTCCCTAGTGCAGTTACATAAGTTCTTTTGTTATATTTAAACTATCTATCATGTACACATCTCCAAAAATCTGACAACAAAACTAAACCAGAGGGGGCATAAAGCAGCGTGTAGTGAAAAGAACAGGGGCAAATCATTTAAAACTGAGTATCAGTTTTCCTTGCCTATAAAATATTTAAATGGCCCTCAGAGGTCCAGTCCATTTCTAAGCCATGGTGCACTGAAATTTCTTCTTGAGAGCCAATTTGGCCTGAGACCCCTAGAAACTAAAAAGCTCCAGTTATTCCCTTAATAGGAGATCTGTGGCTTAACTATGAGAAGACAGTGTCAACTATTTAAGCCAGCCTGCTCAAAGATTATGGGAAACATGTTTTACCTTGCTTTACTTCTTCTGAGGCCATGGAGTCCCCCACCTCAAAATCCGAGCTGATCCTATTCCTGAGGAAGCGTAAGTACAGCTCACTACGGGCATTCATTAAAGTGACCTCAGTCAGAATGGGGTCCAGTTCCCTGAGACACACAAGGCAGAAAGAATAAAGAGGATATTGGATTCCCTCAAATAGAATAGCTACAGAGCAAACATGGTCCTCAGATCCCCCTCCCCACTGGGACCATAAGGATCAGCCCTGCCAGATGGTCATCCTGGCTCTGCTGCCTGTCTATAAAAGACAGCTGTCAACCACATTTTCCCCTTATATGTTTCACCTGAATCATTTATGCTTAAGAATTTGCCCTGGATAAATATGAGGCTAGGAAAGTGGGTTTTCTTTTGTGGTTTGAAAAAAATTATCCCTTATGTGAAAGAAAATATACTTCTCCAACCTCTAATTCAGCCTTGGTAGGATTTTAGAATACACTATTAAAATGTGTCCCACACCCATGCATTTAGCCCAGTGAATAGCCAAAACAATCCTGAAAAAACAAAATTAGAGGACTCACTTCTCAATTTCAAAACTTTTTACAAAGCTACAGCAATCAAGACTGTGTGGTACTGGCATAATGATAGACATGTAAATGTAAGGGAATTGAGCGTCCAGATGGTCAATTGATTTTGAATGAGACTGCTAAGACAATTCAATAGGGAAAGAATGGTCTTTTCCACAAATTGTGTGGGGGGACAACTGATATTACATGAAACAGAATGAAGTTGAGTCTCTACCTCATGTTACAGACAAAAGCCAACTTCTTTTGCACACTGAAGAGAACTTTCCAAAGCAAAAATCTGGTCATAGCATATGGTGTCCATAGCTCAAAGGATATAAGACACTGAATAGCCTGACTCTTAAGGACTTCTTCATATCAGGTGCTCCCTCACACTTTGCAGTTCAGCTGTACTGGTTTTCTTAAGTTCATAGGACTTTTACACATTTTTCTTACTCTATCTGGGACACTCTCACTTTATATTCCTATTCACTCTCCAGATCTCAGATCTAAGGCCATTTCCTCAGGAATTCTTCCTGAAACTTCCTCAGATTAGGTTGCATCCTTTTATTACATGCTCTCCTATAACCTGTATTCATTATATAATATTGGTTAACAGCATAAACTCTGTAGCCAAATTGCTTGGATTCTATTTCTGGTCCTGCCACTGTATGACCCTGGGCATGACAATTAGCCTCCCCATGTTATAGCTTCCTCATTTGTAAACATTTAAAGAAAGATTAAATCAGTGGCACTGTGTGCCTAGCATGCCAGGATTGATCCCCAGTGCTGAAAGAAAAAAACTAGAAAACAAAATACGCCCCCCACCCCCCATCAGACTAAATGGCTTAGTATTTGTTAAGTCCTTAGAACAACGTCTGGCATATAGTAAGCATCATATGTGTTAGCTATTATTATTGTTCACTTGTTAGACTGTAGGTGCCACAAAGAAAAGAATTTTAACTGTTTTGTTCACTTTGCTTTCTGCCATACAAGGACCAGTATCTGGCATATTATATGTAATCAGTAAAAATTTGATTGAATGAACACATTTTATAATGTAACTTACTTTTTTTTCTTTTTTGTGTGTGCATGAGGCAGTACTGGGGATTAAACCTAGGGCTTTGTATATGCTAAGGACACATTCTACCACTGAACCACACTCGCAAGCCTGGATTGTCTTTAAAAGAAAAAAAAAATTTTATATATATATATATATATATATATATATATATATATATATATATATATATATATATAT